TCCTAATGCTTACAGGATCATTTAAAAAAACCTGGGGTGGATTTTCTAGGAATAGTTTCTTCTTTGGTTGTTCCAAAGTCCTGGTCAGCATAGTAGAGTGGATGTCCTCTGGACAGTGCAGTTAGGTACGATTTACATTGTTACTACTTTTCTTTTTCAGTAACTTGTTTTCTCCTTTTTCATTCTAGGTGTATTTTCACATTTGGTTTTGGGTACAGTGAGTGAGATTTTCAAAACTTGCTGTAACATGTTAATATATAGTTCGAAAAAGTTAAAAATTAAATATATCCGCAAGTAATGTTGGTCCCGATCCTGTAAGGTGCTGAGCATTCTCATCTCAAGCCATTCCATTCATCGGATAGCTTCTCAATCAAGCGCTGAGTTTTGCTCACTCATTTTGGTGTGCAGTAGATTTTTGCTCTTTAATGCCATCCTTTGAAAATATAGCTGCATGTATACGTGCTGAATGTGTATTACACTGCACACACAAATGCAAATACATGAAAATTTTCACATGCAATGTAGTGTTTTGTGTGCTTGCCTCAAGCTCATATTTTTGAAAATGTTGCTTGTACTGTGCATATTAAACATCATCCTAGATGTTTTCAGATTGCTCTATCTTATCTTTCTCAGAAAGAGCTCTAGTCAGAGATTAAAGAAAGAAAAACACAGATCCTGACATTTATGTTTTGACATTTATGTTTTGCCCATATAAGCCGAGTTCTAACCATTGCAGGACAGTCCGTTCTATCGAAAAACCAATCCTTCATACTTTCACTGACCTGTAGCACGCCATATTTAAAAATAAAAAAAAGACCAAAGAAGACAGAATATTTTTGCCTTTAGATTTTATTAAAATACAAGAAAAAAGAACAAGTCTAAAAAGCACACATTCCACAGAGCACCAATATTATAACACATTTGTGCTGGTTCTCCTATGAAGTATATTTCTGACATCTAAACAATGATGCACACACAAACACATCTCTACCCACAGTACTCAAATGAATGGACATCAAGCAGACCCTCCAAACAGAGATAACAAAACGCAGAAAGAAATGCCAGTGTGATGGCATCTGAACGCCAACGGAGTTAGTTACTCTTTTGTTAGCGGTCTTCATGAGCACACTAGCACCCCTGCCTTGCCCTCATCCCCCATCTGTACAGCCCAGAATTCAGGCCTCTAGTTTGCTGCATATGGGTCATGCATTGATATGGTGTAGAGTCGAACAAAACTGGCCATTATTCCCTACCTGATACCTCTTTTATCGCTTTGGTTATAGTACTGAATGTATGTTAAAAATCTTAATCCTACACCCAACAACATATAAAGGTCTCACACACACCACTGAGACATTTTTAAGAAGCTTCATGGATTTCTCCATCTAGACAACCTTCAGAAGAATAATCGCCTTTAGGTTTTTGAAGTCCTTAGCGCAGCTGTTCAGTGACATACATTTTGCCATGCATTTTTTCATTTTTAAATGTGCCGGGCCTGATTCTCCACTGCCTTTCACCTTGTGTCATCATTTACACAAGTGCAAAAGATGAGCAAAAAGCTATCATTCTGGTGGTGTCACTTACACTTATTTTGCACAGGGCTAAATAATGATATAAGGCAAACGTCTGTGGAGAATCAGGTCCAAAGTGACTTTGCAGGCATGCTAGGATATTTTAAAAAACAGTTACCGATCTCCAGCTACTGCCAAGGGACAGGACTGCATTCCCTATTCTGTGCAGTGACTTTCTGGAATATTTTCAGGCATTAGCCTCTTCTGTGAATTCTATTCAACTTCAGAATGTAAGATTTGCCATACTGGAATAAACAATAGTTATTCTGGTCCAGCAGATGCCTTGTGTAAAGGTACAGAGAAAGGGAAACCCAACCTCACAATGCACCTGGCCAATTATGCCATGTTAGTAGCAAAATGGTGACATTATTTCATTATTTTGTAAACCTTTTCTAAAAGTTGTATCCTTTTACACCATCAAAAAATTAAAGGAATTGTATTTAATGTTTCTATTAATCACTTATAAAAGACAAAACATCTTTTTCTCTAAGCTCATTTCTTTTCTATTGAAAATATTCCCCTCTGCTTTTTGGCCATATGTTTTCTGGAGGGATCAAAAGAATTTACAAGATGTATCCCTGTCATGATAACCACAGAGGTTGCCAGCATCTTTGCATTTTGGCCAGGGTCAGGAATTTATGTTGCCAAGAAAGAAAGTTCTGATCCTTGAGGATTGTCTATTTACAGAAGCCAGTTTTATAATTCCCTTGCTGTGCAATGAAAACCCATCTATGAATAACAAGACACCCACACATAAGAGAGGGACAAAATAGTAGAAATCCAAAAAGGAGAAAAAAGCTATGCAAAATTACTGTGACTTTAGCTATGCAAAGGAGTATTAGAGTTACTAATTCGGACTCCTTCTTGTGATCTTAAGATATGTTTCAACAGTCATATTAGACACTTGGGTTGGCATTTCGCAAACAGACAACTTAGACAATGCTAAAAGTCCCAGATTGAAGAAAGAAAGAAAGAAAGAAAGAAAGAAAGGTAGGTTTAAGCTTTACAAAGCACATCGGGTTATAGCCTGAAGCAGTTATGGAATGATAAAGTTTAGGATGTCTGAAGAATGGAATAGAAAATAACATTGAAAATATTACATTATTATGTACACCCACTGAATGTTTTCATCTGGAATACTGTTTTCAGCTCTGGTCACCCTACCTGAAAAAGGTAGTTAAGCAAAAAGAGAAGGAGTCCAGAAATGGGAGGAAATGATAAGAGATATGGACCCATATGAGGGATTGAAAGATTAGGATTGTTTTGTTTAGAAAGGACACAAATAAGACTTGCATCAAAAGTATACAAAATAATGAATGACACACAGAAGGAGAATTGGGTGCCCCTATTTACTCTGTCTTATAATACAAGACCAAGGAGAAATTCAATTAAATTGAAAGGCAACAAATTTGATAAAAGGAATTTTTTTTAAACACAGGATGTGTTTTGATCATCAGATTCACTGCCACGAGACAGAACTGAGCTCAAGTTCTTCACAGAATTCCAAAAAAGGACCAGGCATTTATATGGATAATGAAGACATCTGTAGTCACACTAGAAAGGATAAATCTTATAAGGGCACAAGCCAAGCATTAACTGTCTGTGGTTCAGAACAAGTAACTCCTGTGGACAGTTTACTTCTGAATGGTCCAGTATAGGGATTCTTGCACCTTCTTCTAAAGCATCTGACACTCTCCGAGACAGGATACTGCACTAGATGAACTAGTGATCTGATCCAGTAGGCAATTCCTGTTTCTGTGTTCATAGGTTTAAGGTAGCTCTCCCACACAGTCATAAAAATGTGTAACAATCTACCATAGTAATTGCTAGGTCATTATCACTTCACTGAATGGTCTGAGAAGTCAGGTTTATATACCAGAAGGCAGACATTGGAGTAGATGGATATTCAGCCTAAATTTTCCATTGTTCAATTTTTTCTTCTTACCTCTTACTATATACCCTTGGCCCACCCTAAAGAAGACAACAGTGTATGTCATCTTCCCTTTTTTACCCCTCATCACAAATTACTTAGCGCAAGTATGAAAACCTGAAATACAGGAGTACCACGCTCTTCCGTCCACCCAGCTGAACTTGGCTCTCTGAACTCCATTCCCCACCAGATTCTCTGGGATGCTTTACCAGGGTTTGTTTATGCATCCGGGGGGAGGCATTAACCTGGATGCATAAAAAATCACACTCACATTGCTGTCAAAATGTCATATCTGTTCTTAAAAGAGCCATATATTTTTTTAAAATGCCATGTGCATTAGCTGAATTGACTCACACCAAAACAAAAGGAAATATGCCAAGTGTGATTAAAGGGACACTGTAAAATAGAAATATTTCTTTTTTTTTTCAGTTCTTCCCTGTATTTGTACTAACATCTCAGGTGATTAGCAGGGTAAGAGATTTAACACTTTCCTTTATTTTCCCCCACTTTATGCTGTTTGCTTGTTTTGCATTTCTCTCAGCTTGGACTGTGAAACTACGCTGGTCAGGTTCACTCTTGTAATTAGTCAGTTTCACTTCCCAGTTCTCATGCACTAGCACAATGGAAGCATGTCCATTTGTGTTAGGTTTTGTAAAATCCTTTAATTTTTTACAAAACCTAAACATACTTAAGGCCTAGACCAAGTTGACAGTGTCTCTTTAAATATACTTCAGAATATTCCCCTCAGCCATTTTTGAGAAACCCAGCCATTTGTTACAATTGTTCTTGATAATTCACTCAGTTCATCCTTAACCTCTTCAGAGAAATAAAGTGGTGACTGTGAGGCCAGTGTGATGGGTTTTTTTTCCCCAAAGGCTTCTGAGAAGAAGAATGAAACATGAACCAAATGCTATCCTGCCCAACAGAATTGCAGTTGCTGAGGCTAAAGACTGTTTAACTTTCCAATGAACTAATATGGCTGTAAACTAATTGCAGGCATCTAGGATAGCAAAAATCAACATGACCACTTTAACAGGGTAATCAACTGGACAGGTTTCAATTCCAATGAGGTAAAGTGGTGTGTAAGTCCCGCCCCCGCTCAAAAATATGCCTGGTAGGTCAAAAGAAATAAATTACTTTTACAAAACTAAACACAAAATTACCCCTAATTCTCTCTCTCTCTCTCTCTCTCTCTCTCTC